CCAGGGTTGCCAAAGCAACCAGCTCAGTGAGAAGCAGCCCCTTAGCCTCTGGCCCCTGGGTGTGCAGGACCAGGAATGAGAGAGGCACAGACCAACAGGAAATAGGCCCCAGCAGCTGGCAAACTGGGGTAGAGGCATCCCTGGCATCCCCAGGCAGTGCCCAGCTCCTACCCCACTTCCTTCCCTCTCTTCCTCTTGTTACTGCTCGTGCCCATCCTGCCTTCATCTTGGGCCCTGTGATTTATAGCCAATGCCTGGCCCTCAAAGTGCATATCTTGGAGGTGGGCACATGCCACCCCAAAGGGTCAGGGAAAAGAAAGCACCAATCTGCAGAAGTTCCCCAAGACCAATTTTCTCCCTCCTGGGCTTTGGGGTCGTGGGTAGAAATTCCAGTTCTGCCATTTCCTAGCATTCTGGGCCCAGGATTCAGAGGAGGTGTAATGGGGAATGACTGCTTAATGGGTACAGACTGTCCTTTTGGGGTGATGTAAATGTTCCGGAACTAGACAGAGATGTGGTTGCACAACATTGTGAATGTACTATATACCACTGAATTGTACAGTTTAAAATGCTAAAATGGTGAATTTTATGTTATGTGAATTTTACTACAATAAACAAAAAAAGGGAAGTGGCCCATCCAATCCCCATCCACGGGTGACCTCTGGAGTTAAGTAGGCCCCCGCAAAGGTTTTCCTAATTACCTTTCCCTCAACCCTGAGCACCGAGCAAGCAGGCCCTCAGAAAGAGCTGGGGAAGGAGGAAGATTATTCTGTATCTGTCTCCATGAAGCATAAACCCCCTGCCCCAGTCACCAGATGCCTGGCACTCAGAATACATGCACACACTTACTCATTCCCACCTACAAGCCTTTGCTATATGTCCCTTACCCTCCCACCCTGCCCCCAACCTTATGATTACCACTGCACCCCTTGCCATCTATCCAATGTCTGCAGTTCCCTTCATGTCCAGCTCAAATTCTTCCCTGATCCCCCACTTCTGACCTCTGCCCACATACATCTGGGATTTCAGTGGTCCAACCAAGCTCTTGATGACATTCCCTCCCTCAGCTTTGCCTTTTCAAGCAAACCTTTAGCCTGTGAATGTACAGAGATGTCAGAAGCCCTCACCTCTGAGCAAGGTACATGGTAGCTTCTTATAGCTGTTGGTCCTAAGACCAGAGCTGTACCTTGGTTCTCTCCCTTGGAACTCCTAGACCATCATGGTTCAGATCCCAGGAGGAATCACCAGCCAGAAGTAAAGTCAGTTTGTCTCCAGGAAGAACCACCATTCTAACACCCAGTAGGTGATACAAGAGCCTCATTTCATGTCAGCCTGACAGAGAGACCAATCTTAGATCTCCAATTAGTCCCAGAGTCCCTATTATGCCAGGCTCTTTGCCAGTTGTTTTAATTAAAATGGTGAGAAATCAATAGAGACTGCAATTATAGAAAGAGAGAAAAAAATTGAGAGTTCTCCCCCCAAGAAAATGTATGGATGGACACTAATAAGAATTAGAGATGAATTCTAGGTGAGTACAAAAGCAATCCCAGCAGAACTCTGGGTAGACAGTGTTAGAATCACGGCCAGTATCAAGGTCAACACCAATACAATTGGAATGGAATTCTGGATGACCCCTGACATATCAGAAAAGACTCCTAGGTCAGTGCTGACTAGGAAGGAATTTGGAGTGAACACTAAAACAATCACAGAATAAAGCTAATGGCTTTTTAGGGTGGGGAGAAGTCAGGTTGAGGATGAGGATCAGTGGACCTTGGAAGAGGGACAGCAGGCACCCATAGGTGGCCTTCATGAGCATGCTCTGATGCTTCATGTCAGGCTTGGGAGGAGCAGAATCAAAATTCTCATGGCCGTCTCCAGTAGGCGTATAGGTAGGAGCAGGAGAGAGTGGACTCTGGTAAATCAAGCCTGAAGGGAGATGAGCAAGGGGAGGGAGACTACTGGGGGGTAGAATTTCTCACCATTTACTCCCACAGAAGAAGAACTGATCTTTACGAACCAGGGAGGCAGCATAAGAGGGGTTTCCCAGGCCAGACAGCTGAGGAGTCAGGCCGAAGAGGAGGCTAGGGTCGGGTCAGGGAGGTAGGAGCTGCTCAGACCCTCTCCTGCCCACTCCACCCTTCCAAAGACTCCAGTCACAGAGACCCCAAATCTCCACAATCCCAAACTTTAGGTAAAAATAAGTTCTATTACAGAGGCTTTCTCTGGGCTTCTCGGGGTCAAGGGCGGAGCAGCATTTCCTCAGGGCAGCTTGTGAGCATTAGCTACTATGTCAACTCACTGACCCCCAGCTAACCCCTGCTTTTCAAGGCCTGAGTCTGGCTTTGCCATGTTCCCTTGATTGACCCACTGAGTTGGCAAATCATTATCCCTTTACCTAATTCTTCTCACTTGTAAGGAAGGACATTGAGCTGGATGATGTCCCCAGGTTCCTCCATCATTAGGAATCTGCTTCCAGCACTCAGAAACAGTTTTTATACATGCTAATACAGTTTATATCTGATTATAAAAAATAATGCTTGCTTTTTGTAGACATTTTAGAAAAGAGCAAAATATGAAAATGAAAAGAACAAATCTCATGTGACTCCATTATGCAGAGGAAACCATTTTTATCCTTCTGGAAACTTTCTTTCCAGGGCTGATTTTTTTTTTTTTAACAAAATTGGGATGTTACGGTCTATACAACTTTGTATCCTGCTTTTTTCAACTGTCACTGTGTAAGCATTTTCCCAAGTCATCAAATATTCTTTAAAAACACAATTACAAAGATCACATAATAATCTACCAAGAAGATACACCATGATTACAGGGCATTCAGGTTGCTTCCTAGTATAAATAGCACTGCCATGAACATCCTAGCCTAGCGCATAAGTATTTGCCTGCATCTCTGTTTCCTTAGGATCACCTCCTCCTGATGGAATCACAAGGCCAATGAATATGATATTTTAAAAGGTCTTGACATGTACCACCATATTAAGTTCCAGAAAGACACAACAAACCCATTGGTTTTCCTGAGCCAAGCGAGAGCTGAAGTTCTGAAAGGGTTGGAGTTAGAACATAGGACAGTGGTCCCATCTCTCTCCCCCAGTCTCGAAGGTTAACTGTCCAGCAAAAGAGAGGACAGAATTCCAAGTCAAAAGATATAGGTCCACAGCCTAACTCTGCCTCTCACTGGCTTTAGGAAACTGAAACAGGCATTGGTCCTCCTCAATTGTAAAATGGGTATGATTAGTTCTTCTGACTACCCAGAGCAGTTTGTGAAAGTTCTTTGTAAACTTCAGTGCTTTATCAGAGGGCATCACTATCATGCTTCTCATAACCTGGGGGGCTGAAGAAGTGGGTCACTCTTTGTGAAAGACCAAGGGCTTCTCTTCCTAACTCTTAGTCATCAGAATGTCCAGGACAAGTGCTAGCTGGTTCTGAGGGTGATCAAACAGCAGTTTCCTGAAGAAAATCAGTAGAGTCTGAGGGCCTGGAAGGACCCAGCTGTATCTTGCAAAGGTCAGAGACAGCACTGGAAGCTGCAGGGCAGAGAACTGGGCCTAGGGGCTCCCTGAGGGGGCTGGGTGGGTCTAGGCTTAGAAGGCAAAGACCTTCCTGGTATATGTCCACATGTTTCAAGGCTCCCAGCATTTCCGTTCTAGGGTTCTGACTGGACATCTGGCCTTTGGGAGAACCAGAAATCGAGCTAATTCAATGGGTGCAAGAAGTCAACAGCTGCAGAGGACTCCAGAAGCCAACAGCTCTGGCCCCTTCTTCCAGGCTGCTGTCAGTCAGTCCCGGATCTTTAAGACCCTCCAATTGGAAATGCAACTAGTGCTTCCAGCATGACCTCTGAAGCCCTGGGCAGATAAAAAAGGAGACTGTGATGTCTTCCTTGAGAAGCACAGCCGGCCGGCCAGAACATCTGCCACACTCCCCTATCCACTCGACAACTGCCCTTGCTCACCCCTGCACACCGACATAGCATCATGGCCCGAGGGGACTCCAGTGACGTTCCCAGGGCTGGCAGGGAGAACTGCGCAGACCCCACAAAACGCCATCCTCCAGGTTTTCATCATCACCGTCTGCAGCCGCCCACCCGTAGCCCACCTCCCTGGACAGATAAGCATCTCCAGTCTCCAAATTCGCACAACAGGTGGCACCTGCCCTTCCTCCCCAACCACACCTCTCCACCTCTCCCTGCCCCTCTCCACCTGCACCCCAGGACTCCAGCTGCGCCAGCCCCAGCAGAGCCTTACCTTTGACGTTTTGCAGGTGGCCCCGCGGCGCCCGGCTCGGGTTTCCTCGGGGCAGAGAGGGGATACTGGAGAAGTTGTTCCCCATGGCATCTGGCCCCAGGGGCTTCGGCACTCGCGGGGGTCAGGCGACGCTGGGCAGGAGCCGAGATACAGCGTGCAAGTGTGTGCGCGCGTGGGCGCGCGCCGCCGGGGGAGGGCCCTGGTGGGGCTGCGGCCGGGGGCAGGCGGGCGGCTCCTCTCCTCCCTCTCTCTGGGCTCCGCGGTCTTCGGCGGGGCCTGTCCGCCGCGGGGGTCCTTGCGCGAGCCGTCTACCTGCCTGCCATTCCCCGAGGCGAGCGCGGGGGCCAAGACCGGGCCCCTGGGCGGGGACCCGCGGCGCCCGGGGCCCCCTCCTTCCTCCGGCTGGCGCTGGGGTTCCGGCTGGTGGTGGGCGGCACGGTGGCTCCGGCGCGCTCTCCCGGGGCCATAGAGTCAGGATTCAGCGGCTCGCCCTGCCCGGAGGCTCCGCGGCTCGGCGGCAGGCTCTGTCCCCGCCCGCGGGGACGGCTGCTGCGGCGACGTGCGTGGCACCCTCCCGCCCGCGGGTCTGCATGGAGCGGAGCTCCGGGGAGCGCGGGCAGTGCTGGGCGCGCCCGCGGTGGTTGGTCTCTCCCGGCGCCGCGCGACCGCCGCCCCTGGCCCCCAGCCCCAAGCCGTCGCCAGGATTCCCTCGCTCCGGTTGTTATGGTGACAGCTGCGCTGGTGAATGAGCGTCTTAGAGACACGCGCGCGCGCTCAGCCAGATGTGGTCCCGGAGCGCGCCGCGTCCCCGGCTGCCACAAGTTCGCCGCCGCGCGAGGGGTGCCGTGCCCAGGTAGGATAAAATATCCAACAGAGACTGGGTCTCCAAGGTTTGGGCCATTTCTCTCACGGACAGTAAAACTTGATATGAAAACAAGAAAAACAGTAGAGCAAGAACGTTGAGCTCCCAGGGTGCCAAGCACCTGTCGAGGTAGCTCTAATCTACAATTCCCCTAGCACCGAGTACAGGGCCTGTCACCTAGCAAAAGCTCAAGATTAAAAAAAAGTAACAACAACTAAATGAATGAATGGATGATTGAAAAAGTGAAGTGAGATTAGGACCCCAATGTTTGACTCTCGGCTCTCAGTCATGTCTGAAGGGGCGCTGGGGCAACAGCTCAGAACATTGGATGAATACAGCTGGGCTAGGACATTAGGTCTCTGGCCAAGCTGGGGAAACAGTTCTCCGGGAGGAACCACCAAAGAACCACCAGCTCTGAACTGAGTACTTCTGTCAGCTGTAAGAGGTGGGGGGAGGGGACCTCTGTGGCCTGTATCAGTCAAAGAAGGCTTCCTAGAGGAAGGGGCCTTCAGCAAGTTGCCTGTTCTCATGACTCTTGCAGCTCAGCACTGCTACCAAGAGGCATACAGGAAAGAGAAGGGATGTCCTCCTACCTGGACATGGGGCATCTCCTTCTCCCAGTGTGTCATGGGTGGAAGATGAGCCGAGGTCCCCCAGAGAGTATCTGTCTTTCAGCTCCTCTGTGTCACTTCCAACTACCTGAATGCTTTCAGCAGTTCTGATCCAGAATCCAGCAAGGATGCGGGCTGGCAACAGGCATAGCACCCATCCTCTAATGGGGGTTCTTCCCTCAAGTCTCCATGTGATAGCTCCTCATTTTTCAGGCATGATTCAGCGTGTCACCTCCAGACCCCTCCTAACCATCCCAAATGAACTGGCCACTTCCATATCATTATTCTGTTTTATTTTCTGGAGTTAGTTTAAAAGTAGCCTTCCCCATTGTTTGTGGCCTACTAGAATGCAAGCATTGTGAGAAGAGAGAGCAGGTCAACTCCATTCACCATGATGTCCCCAAGTGCCAGAATGGTGCCTGTCACGTGACAGACTATCAAAAAATACTTGAAAAAATATTTCAAAAAATGGGTGAATCTCCCTGCCTAGCAGCAGAAGAACTCCCCTAAGATCCCTGGGAGCAGAGCCTCTGAACTCTCCTTGTTTCCCTTCCCTGCTGCCCACCCCCACCCGACTGCAGGCATCACATCCTAAAATGTCTGGGACTCCAGGCGAGCTAGAAATATCTGTGACAGATGCTCCCTGGGGTCTGGAGGGAAGACAGCCCCCAGTCCTGCCTCCAACCTCTTAGATGGCCAGAATCACACACCCAGCCAGCTGCAGAGTAGATGTGGATGTCAGGGTGCTGTCGTATTTATCGGCGTATCTTCCCAAGACTCACTCCCAACCAATGACTCATGCATCAGAAATCCATGGGCTCTGAATGGCAGCACACTCACACATTTGCACACACACCTCTACATGCTCACACACTCAGTTCTACACAAGTGCACACACTGTCTCACATGCACTCCTACTCACCCGCCCGCTGAAGCCTACAGCAATTTGGTCACTGTGCGCTGCTGCCGGCATCAAACAAATCTGCAGGCTCTGCATAGATGAGACTAAGTCCCCTGGAGATGTGTAAAGTGCAAGGCTCTTGGTGGGATTTGCAGACTGTGGCTGGGCAAGGGGCGGCCTGGGCCCTTCCTAGAGCCTACCACTCGCTTCCTCAAGGAGGAGGGGCTTGTTCATGAGTCAGGGCATGTTCATGAGAGGACAGCAGGGATGTCACAGACTCCACATGGTCTAAACCTGAGGCTGTGGTCAAAACAGGAGAGATGGAGGAGGTCAAAGGAAAGGAGGGAAGTGAGGGCCAGAGATGAGAGCCACCTGAGGAGACCAGAGGTGGCAGCAGGCTCTGCAGCTCAGGGCAGCCCATCCCAGGAAGCCCCTCAGGAGGGCAAGAGGCAGTAGGGACCAAGGCAGGGAACTGAAGGCAGGTCAGAAACTCCCCCTGACCCAGGAGGGTCAAGGAGATAGTGGCAATAACAACTGAGCCAGTCTTAGGATGAGGTGAGCAAGGCACCCCCAGTGCAGAACCTACGAAGGCAGTGGCCCTTGGGGTCACATAGTGGCAGCCCTGCACTTGCTCGAGCCTGTGAGTGTCTCTGAAATTCTGCTCCCTGGCCACCTCCCTAGGCTGGCTTTAGCCCTCCCAGTGAGTTCAGTACTGTGGGAGGGGCCACCACTGTCAGCTGGGTGCAAGATTCTAGCCAGGCAGGGACCTAAAGGAGGTGGGTATGACAGCAGGGACTCAGAGAAGCTGCGAGTGGCCCTCTGAGGGGTCCTAGGCCTCAGAAATCCTCTTGTCGTAGTGGCTATCATTAGACCCAGCTCAGAAGATCATAGAATTTCAGCACCCACCTCCCCTATGGGTGATGGACAGAATCCCTGAGGCTTTTGAGCCATCTTTCACCAAGGTGGCTGCCAGGAGGCAGGAAAGTGGCCTGTGTGGCTCTGAGGGCCCTTCCCAGTTCCCTCCTGGAAGGGAGGAGGTGGAAGGAACCTGCTAAGGAAACTGGGGCTCGATGAAGTCACCGTTTTGATGGCTTCAATGGAAGCTATTAATACCCTTCAGTTGGTGCTCCAGCACCTGTCACCATGGCAACCCTGCCTCCCCAGCAGTGTAAATTCTGCAGGTAGTGCCCAGGGGGGTGGGTGTCAGTGCATACATGTTTGATGAGTACATGTGTGCCCTTGTGTGTGTTTATGTGGGTGCTATGAGTGCTCGCACCAGCGCACAGGAGAGGGAAGGTCCCAGGGGGGACCTTGGGCAGAACTGGGCTCCTTCAAAAGCAGCTCTGGCCCCCTACTCTCCCCTTCTCTCTCCCTCACTGGCTGGCTTCTCTCTTTCTCTCTCTCTCCTCTTCTCTCCTTTTGTCATTCTCGCATTTTCCTGCCCTTCTTCTCTCCTCTCCACCCTCATCACTTTCTCTCCTAACCGTCTCTCTTCTTTTTTTTTTGTTCCTTGCTCTGTTTCCTCCTGATGGTTCACCTCTCTGTTTCCCTTGTTTCTCATTCCCCACAGTTCTCAGATCGGTTCAAGTCTTGAAGAGTCTCCATGGTGACAAAATAATAAAAGACTTGACTGAGAGTCTCCCTTCTTCTTCCCCTGAGCCCGTGGAGGCTGAGCCCAGAACCAGCCACAGGGATGGCCTCCTACCAGGCAGGCAAGAGTGGGGTTCAGCTAAGCCAAGCTGGACTCCCCTAAACTTTATACCACCCTTGTCAACACTATGACACCTCCCTCCTATTGAGAATCTAACCTTAAAATAGGAAACAGCCACACCATCCCTAGCTAGGATATAGGCCACCCCCCGCCATCATCCCCAAGTACCAGCCTATGGTTATCAGACCATCAGAAAACTTATACAGGGTTGTCCTGCCTGAACTGCAGGGAATGGCTGTACTATGCTAAAGCATTCAGGAAGATCCCTGACTGCCTCATATATAGTAGATACTCAATAAACATTTATTTAGTGAATCAATTAACAAATTAGGCAATATATAACCTATCAATACAGCCACTCAGTCAACCAGAGAGCCTTGCTCAGACCAGCCCATGTGGCCTGTTCTCTCTTCCACAGTACCTTTTCCGCAGAGTTCTTCCCTGAGGCCAGGCCTTCCCTCTGAAGGAGAGGAGTCTGTGCTGCCCATCTTAGCAGGCAGTGGGCACCGTACTGCCTTGTCCCCAGGTGCTTTGGAATTCAGCATCACTCTGCCCCAAGTGACCAGGTACTGAACTCTACCTGTTCTCCTGGCACCGTGCACAGTGCAGCTTCCTTGTCAGCACCATGGGTGAGCCGGTCCAGTGCTTTTGGATCCTCCAGTTTCCCACCTGTCAGGGCTAGATTTAGAGCCAGACACACAACAGGTCTCAAATAGTCAAGATGTCAGTTTTTCCCAACTTGATCTATGGAGTTAATGCATCCCAATCAAAATCCCAACAAGTTATTCTGGGAATATCAACAAAACAATTCTGAAGTGTGTAGGGGGACGCAAAAGATCCAGGATAACCAGCACAATATTGAAGGGGAAGAACAAAGTTAGAGGAATGACACTACCCAACTTCAAGATTTACTATAAAGCTAACACTAATCAGACAGTGAAAGAACAGACAAGTAGATCAATGGAACAGAATAGGGACCCCAGAAAAAACCCACTGGGCTTATTTATAGTCAACTTATATATTCAACTGATCTTTGACAAAAGAGCAAAGGCAATACAACAGGGCAAACAGTCTTCTCATCAAATCATACATGAACAACTAGACATTCACATGCAAAAAAATGAATCTAGACATGGGCTTTACACCCTTCACAAAAATTAACTCAAAATGTATCATAGACCTAAATGTAAAATGCAAAACGATAAGATTCTCAGAAGATAATATAAGAGAAAACCTAGACGGCCTTCAGTTTGGTGATGACTTTTTAGATATAACACCAAAGGCCATGAACCATAAAAAAATTTTGATAAGCTTTACTCACTTCATTAAAATTAACTTTTTCTGCTCTGTGAATGACACTATCAAGAGAATAGAAAGACAAACCACAGACTGGGAGAAAATACTTGCGAAAGACTTACCTGATAAAAGACTGTTATCAAAAATGTACAAAGAACTCTTAAAACTCAACAATAAGAAAACCTGATTTTTTAAAATGAGCCAAAGACCTTATTAGACACACCTCAGCTAAAAAGATAAACAGAAACCAAATAAGCATACAAAAGAATGTTCCATATCTTATGTTATGCCATCAGGGAAATACAAATGAAAGCAACAATAAGATACCATACAAATAATTAGAATGGCCAAAATCCAGAACACTGACAACACTAAATGCTGGAGAGGATAAGGAGTAATAGGAACTCTCATTCACTGCTGGTAGAAATACAAAAGAGTACAGCCACTTTGGAAGACAGTTTGGTGTTTCTTA